ACTAAATGGGCAGCTTCTGTCTGGAGGTGAGATGGGAAGGGAGAGAGGATTAGGAACTTGTTGAATGGACATGGGGAATCGGGTGGAAAGGAGGAGTGTGCTGTCATAGTATGGGGACAGCAATTAGGGTCACATAACAATGTATGTATAAATTTTTGTGGGAGACTAACTTGAAATGTAAACTTCATTTAAACTACAATGATAAAAAAATTAAAAAAAAATAAACAAGATGGGATCCTTAACTGTAATGGGATTATAGTCCATGGGAGATTAGGGGAGGGCAATCATGCATTCAAATAAATGCAGAAGAGTAATAGTTCTCTTTTTTTAATACTTGTACTGAGTGAGACTCAGAGATGTGTAAACGTGTGTAAACAATGTGTCCTAGGTCACACTGCTGGGATGATGGAACATCTATAAAATTGAGATAATGATACCCACTTTACAGAGTGGTCATAATGAGTGGAGTTGGTCGTATTCACATGCCATGTAGCCATTATTTCTCATCTGCACTCGCACTGCTCTTAGCACAGTGATTTACATATTAATATTCAATATTGCATATTCAATAAACATCTACTGAAATGAGTTGAACTGTTGACTTAAATCTGCTCTATGTAGTCTCGCTCTTGTTGCTAGTTGCTGTTGAATTGATTTTGACTCATGGTGACTGCATGTGTGTAGAGTACAACTTCTCCATGGGATCTTCAAAGCTGAGTTCTTTCAGAAGCAGATCCCCTCCTTGTATCCTGAGGGATCTCTGGGTGGGTTCTAACCGCCAACCTCTTGGGTAGTAATCAAGTGCTTAAACCGTTTGTGCCACTCTTAGTGTGTAGTACTCTAACTACAGTGTTTCTCCCCATCTTTGTTTTGGTGCTGTCCAAGACTTTCAAAATAAGTGAAGGAGGGAAACTTGGATAGGAAACTGAGGAATTTTCAAACCTCACACTCTTTAGGATCCCATATGAGCTTGGCTGTTGTTGTTAGCTGCCATTTAGTGAGGCCCTGACTCATGGAGACCCATGCACAATAGAAAGGAAACATTGCCTGGTCCTGCACCACTCCTATGATTGGTTGCAGACTGATTTTCAGAAGTAGATCACTAGGCCTTTCTTCCTAGTCTGTCTTAGTCTGGAAGCTCTGCTGAAACCTGTTAGCATCATAGCAACATACAATCCTCCACTGACAGGTGGTGGCTGCACATGAAGTGCATTAGTACATTGATTGCCAATAATCACTTTATTATTATTATCTATAAATCAGATTTTTAAAACTGGAAGCAACTCTATGATCATCTGGGCTAAATCTCTCTTTTTACAAATGAGGAATCTAAGAGCTGGGCCCAGCGCCTAGGTATCTTGAGTCAACTTATTTCTATATATATTACATGACCTCCCTGGTGAAACTTTTTATGTGTGCATTTAAGCTCACTTAATCTAAGACACCTATTTTCCTTGCACTCTTGATTGGTCTGCTAATTTACTCAAGGGAAACCAAACTAGCTAGATTTTAATCTCTTTGAATTGTGGCATCAGCTATAAAGGTCTTAGCTGAGGTTTTAATGGCTAGGTTTAAGTAAATTTAACGGATACACCAGGGAACGTTCCAATTACAAACACCATTAAAGAGCTTTATGTGCGGATTAAAAAATTACCATTAGAAAAAAAAAACATAGTCCATGTACAATATAATTTACCAGCAGGAAAGATTGCAATGTCCTAGAAAATTTCATATAAAAAGGGAATACAGGAAAATGAAAAGTACCAGTACTCAGTACACTCTGAAGGAAGTTGGGGATTCTTTTGGCCCTTTGTCTCCAAACAGGTAAAATGCTTTGTATTTCTAGCACTTTCTTTTCTTTTTTTTGATTGCATGCTATTGTATGTCTATAGGGCATTTTACCTTAAGGATTAAATTCAGGTGTGATGGTATCTAGGTATCTAAAGAAACCATGTCCTTCACTGGTCCTTGTCACCACCGGCCACAGAGAGCCAGCCTTTTGGGAACTGCAACCCCTTATTGACCAGTATTTGATTTTGTCTTTAGCTTCTTCCCCCATCAAATAAAAATTAATTTGAAGACTCTTTGTGAGAATCCCACATTTCATTAGATAATTAGAGGCACCCTTGGCCAGAGAGGCATCTGGTGTGGGACTTCATGCTTTGAACTGTGTTGAATCCTTTCTGACTCTCACAGATGGTCCAGCCAGCAGTAAAGCTTGGAAGACTAGAGGACAGACCCTCAGCAGAATGTAATTAGTCCCGCCGTATAGCCACTTTATGTCAAATAACTTTATATTAACCAAAGATTCTTAGTAGGGGCTACTTTTCAGAGCAGATGGCTCAGTTTGTTTGTTTGTTTGTTTTAACCTCAGGAATGATACAGTTGAAAACCAATTCACAGGAGGGAAAATGTTAAGGCAAAAAGGTGAACTTGAGAAGGAATAAATCATAGGGTTTGGATTTGGAAGGCTTTTGTTAGTTTTCTATTTTTTTCTTTTGCAGAATATAAACAACAAAAAAAAAGCCTCTCTGTTTTACATATTTTTAAATATTCTATGTTCCAAAGAGGTTGAGAAACAGCACCTTCTTCTCTCAACTCTTGAAAAAAAATGACCTAAATATTTAGAAAATATTTTAAACATAAGGTACTTTTCTTCTACGTTGACTGGTCGCCTACATGTTCAATTTCAGTTCCATTATGAAAATTTAGCATAAAGAATTTTATAAACATTAAAATGAATAGTTTCCTGTAAAAGTCAAATAATTTTTGTTCTGATAGGTATGTTAGAAGCCAGATTTTTTTTGTATTGACTCATTGATTGAATACCTAGAGTGGAAATAATACTGAAATATGTGAATTTAAAGTACTGACTTTTGTCCCCAAATAGCCAGGGAACTCAAGGCATGCAAGTGGCTGTCTCTGTGTTTCAGTGTCCTTGTCTGAAATTTGTAGATGATTCTTACATCATCTGCAGGATTAGGGGATACAAAGATTAGGCTTTTCACTAATGAGGTCTTTGTTTTTTACTCAACCCAGTCTGGGTCTATTTTGATAGCACGTTGATGTTCCTTAGAATGGAGCCGATTCCAAAACTCCTAGTTGGACTTATTCTGCTGACTTTATGTGTGGTGGGCAGCTCCAGCCAACACTGGTCCTATGGATTGCGCCCTGGAGGAAAGAGAAATGCTGAAAATTTAATTGATTCTTTCCAAGAGGTAAGTTTCTCTCAGCTTCAAAATACGGCAGCTTATTAGATTCGTTTTGTTTAAATAAGTTAAATATCCACTATGTGCCCAAAGGCACTCCCCTAGGCTCTCCCCTAAGAATCCGAGGGAGACAAGACACCTAAAAAGTAGAAGTCCTATTCCTACTTTCAATTCAGACAGGAGCAAATGAAACAAAGAGCAGGAAAAATTCCAAGAGAATATAGTAACAAGTGCAAGATAGTGTGTCTTATGCTGAGTATAAAGAATCATCAAAGGAATTAGAAACAATAGGATGGAGTGTCTGAGTGCAAGATGATTCATTGAGGGTTGGAAAAAAAATTATAACTTCTAATTTATGCTTTTTTTTTCCTATCTCATCTTTTAAAAATGTCTATTACATTTTTATAATTTTTAAATAAATATCCTTATCAAGGGTTCATGCCCTACAATTTTCTTACTGATAGGAGCATTTAAGCAGAGAAATTGAAGACTACCAGAGTACAGGCGTTAGCAAGTTCAAGAAGAAAAAGTAGTATAGTGGAAAACATGCTGGATTTTATTTCATATAAGTTAGAATATAGTACTAGCACCAGCAAGGGAGTCCCTGGGTGGCGCAAATGGTTAATTCCTCGACTACTACCCGGAAGGTTGGCAGTTCGAATCTACCCAGAGGCACTATGGAAGACAGGCCTGGAGATCTCCTTCTGAAAGTTCATGGCCTTGAAAACCCTATGGAGCAGTTCTACTCTGCGACACAGGAGGTCGCCATGAGTTGGAATAGACTTGACAGAAACTTAACAGCTAGTACCAGCATTAACATGGGGTTCTTTATTTCTTATCTGTAAAGTCAGACTTCTCAGGGTTGTGTGAGGATTACAAAAGAGGGCATATATGTGAGTTGTTTAATAAGAAGAATGTTAGTTGATTAATAAAAATCAGTTTTGCTTTTTTTTTTTTTTTAAGTGTACAAGATACAAACTAGGCCCTAAAGGATGAGTGACTCAGGGCTGGGACATGTAACATAGGGTAAGGATGAGAAAGAACAAAACACTGGCTAGATAAATGGAAAAATATTTAATTTTCATTGAAAAGAAATATCTCTTTTTGGAGAAATAATAAAGATAACAGTTTTAAATAAAGAAGCCCTAGAATCTGAAATTTCTCTGCAGATTATGTGAAGCAGCTTTCATTTAAACATGAAATACTTAGTAAAAACTAAAAAATTAACATGAATTCCATTCATAACTGCAACCAAAAAAAACTTGTTGCCATAGAGTTGACTCCGACCTATAGTGACCCTGTAAGACAGAGTAGAACTACCCCATAGGGTGTCCAAGGCCATAATCTTTATGAAAGCAGACTGCCACATCTTTCTCCCGGGGAGTGACTAGTGAGTTTGAACTGCAGACCTTTCGTTTAGCAGTCGAGTGCTTAACCACTGCACCACCGGGGCTCTTAATAACTATAATCTCTAGTAATTTTTTGTATACCCTCTCTTCATGATTGCCAAAGTACTTTACTCTCATAATCTCTAAGGAGAAAATGTTGTCTCTTTATCTCCTTATCTCCGTTATCTGCAGAACCCCACACGAATCTAAAAATGCCCGATTCTGGATCCACGTCCTTGAAGTCCCATCCCAATCCAACTTCCCCAGACCAGAGTGACAGCACTTAGTCCCACAACACTTTTGACCTCACTTTCTGCTGGCCATTTTTCTTTTCCCCATAGGGGTTGAAGGAAGAAGGTGCTGTTTCTCAGTTAATCTCTTTTGAAAATACTATTTCATTTCTTTATCTCCAAGAATCACATTCTTTTTCTTCAGATAGCTAAAGAGGTTGATCAACTAGCAGAACCTCAACGCTTCGAATGCACCATTCACCAGCTGTATTCTCCCCTCAGGGACTTGAAACGAGCTCTGGTGAGTTCCAGTGACAATAACACACCTCTTCAGAGATGGAAAGGTCCTTGGGTACCACTTAGGACAACTTTCTCCCATCCACTGCAGGGCCTACCCTCCTGACTCCTGTGATAGGGCCCTCACTATTTCAGTGGTTAGATAACACTAGTATTTGCAACTTTTTTTTTTTTCCTTTCTTGAATTGAAATCTTTCTGTAACCTTCATCTGCTAAAATCTTGGCTCTAACCTTTGGAAGGACTGACAAATTTCTTCCCACTGCTATTATGCCAGTTCTTCAAGTCTGTTCAAATCAAATCCCTTAGACTATTCGACTCTCGGCTAATCCACATCATTCCATCCGATTCTTCAATTGTTCTTGGTGTGACATCATTTCCGAGAACCCTCGGGAATGTAGACGTCAGAAATAGTGCTAGGGTTTATTTATTCTTCTTTTGGAATTAAAAAAAAAAATTCAAACTAGTTAATTTATAATTCAGCGCCACAGATTTGATTGCATTTTTCTGACTGGAGTATGGCTATCTCCAAATTTCCACCCAAAATGGAAATCTACCACTCTAATGCCCAGGAGCAGGGAAAGCCTGAATAAATCACATACAAAGATAAGTTACCATCTCATTCTCACCGGTGACTTCAACTTCCATATTCACAAAACAGAGAGAAAAATGGACAGACATGTTCATTTCCTTTCCTTTTCTAATCCTGCTCACTGTATGATAAAAATAATGGCAAGCAGTGAACTTCCCCAACCTGCCATTAGAAAGGAGGAATTGAAGCAAAGGCTGGGTTAATAGTAAACTGATTAAGCAGATCCTCTTTCACCCTCCTTCCTTACCCCCCTACTCAAATTGTTAATGTAGATTTTATGTTTATAAAACTGAAAAAGACATGATCTGTCATCTCTCTAGCATTTTCTAGTGTACAAGACAAGCAAACCTGTCCATTTTATATAGACACTTTAGAAATTAAATGTCCAAAATGTAATGAGTTTCAGCTAGTTAAATCACCCTTGATGTATTTGTTGCTCATATTTTTTTCAGGAAAGTCTGATCGAAGAGGAAACTGGGCAGAAGAAGATTTAAATCCATGAGCCAGGATTGGCAACATTTAATTCTGACATTGAAATTTGTACCCCATTTAATATCTGTAAATTGTAAGAATTTCAGAAATTCTCACACCAAGTGCACATATTTCATAATGAAGTGCTGTGTTGTGAATAAAGTGGTTTAAGTGTTCAATCTTCCTCTATCTCAGAGCTCTGATGGGAAAGAGACATTGTAAGCCCACCAAAGGGAGCACTCCAGGTGGGTCTGCAGGCGACAGATGGCAAGGGAGATGAGATGTGTCTATTTTTGACCAAAGGTATCTCATGGTTCTCGTCCACTCTTGCCCTGCATCTATAAGGAAGAGAACAGCTATATATTGGTCAAGGCCAAGAGAGTGGATTTAGCCAGTTTCCTATGGGATTTTAACCGAAACTTTGACCCCACTCTGCATAAATAAGATAGGGCTATTGCCAAGGTTTCCTCTCACTGGGAAAGAAGTTCCCTCCCCAGGTTGTCTCCAATCCCTTAGAAAATCAACTGGAATTTGAGTGAGGCCTAGGAGGAAGGAAGCCTCTCACAGCTCCTAGTCCTGGCCATGGACTATCCAAGTTCACCAGAACAAGTGGTACACACTGAGGGTTGGCACCAAGGCCTAAAAATAATGGAGTGTTTACTGCCTGATCTTGATGGTATTTCCCTTGAGAAATGCTATGGCAGACAGAGTTAGTTGGAGACAGGATTCAGGTGATCCCAAATTCCCTGGCCAAACAGCACTACCACTATTTACTCTCCATAAAGACCAGTGTCAAGCTTTGTGCTAGATATGTGCATAAATATTCTCATGAATCCTCATAACAACCTTTGAAAGGTATTATAGCCTTCACTTTAAAATGAAGAAACTGGGGCTCAGAGAATTTAAGAAACTCACTCAGTACCATCTGTTTCCATGTTCAGTGCTTTTACTTTGCACTATGAGCAGCCAATGGAAGCTGACTTTGGAAGACAAGTTATTTTGTCCTTTGAAGCTGAAACAGGACACTGAGGCTCATATGTCAACACGGTTTTTCAGGTGACCATTTCTCCATGAGGTCACAGACAGTGTGGTACTAATATTTTCATTTATGCTTATAACTTCCAAATGAGTATGAGATGACCATTTGAAAAGAATCAAATTTCAGATAACTTGCCCCATGTCACTGGTAGAGTGGTACTATGGTACAGTGACGAACTGTGCCTATACTTACACGGCAAAGACCAAGACCCTTTGTCCTCTTTCAATGAAATGGAACCTACTGCCCCCAACACCACCACCTCAAAAAAAAAGGCCAGGACTTGTGGTGACAAATTTTTACAATGGTCAGAAACACTCCGTGGGGTGGTGGCAGAGGGACTCCCCTTTTAATACAAATATTTGCCATTTGCACAATGCTATATTTGCCAAACATCTTTGAGGAATTGCTAAAAGCGAATCAAGGAACTTCCTGACTCCCACTTTAATAAAATTAGGCAGTTACGGGATAAAATGCAGACCTACGTTATTTCATTAATCAATACTTAGAAGGCAGGACGAGAGGCTTGCATGTGCCAAATCACTCAGATTGACAATCTTTACATTAGTTAACACACTAAAAAAGAAAATAGCACACCCATTTAATTTATACTTCCCATTTACAGTCCTTTGCCAAAAGCTTGTCTTCGGACAATTTCTTTGGAGCCAGCTGTGGGCCCCCCGGATGTGACACAAAGATGCTCATCCAGCTGCCTGATGCTGGTGTTAGAGGCATCCAGTGGTACGCAACTTAAGTGAGCATGTTGGGTACTTGATTCTCAAATGGCCCAAATGACGAAAGGGAAGAGTGAAAATGGCCCCCTTTCCTTCTAGTACAGTAATGGCTCCTTTATTAAAATTATAAACTTTTTACTGCCTCTGAAGAACTCATGCATGTAGCTTCAAAAAAAGTCTGCAGCCTTTTGAAATAAAGAAAAAGAAAATGTCAAATATTGCGTTTAGTAAGTTCTCATTTATACAGCTTTAAAATATCCAGTAGCAAAAAGGAATTAGAATGGCTTGAAAATAAAATAGATAATTTTAGCAAAGGTTTCAGAAGTTGTAGTAGCCTAGAGACGACTAGGAAAAAAGCCATTAACATTGCTTTCGTTAATAGCACATGCAGATCTTGACAGTGGAATATGTCCGTGTTTCTCAAAGGCAACTCTAGATCAAAAAGATTCTCTAGCCCTACTGAATCATATTCTCTGGGGCCCAAGCAGCTTGCACTTTAAACAAGCATCCCAGTGATTCTTATGTACAGACAGTGGAACATTATTGCTCTAAAAAGCAAAAGATTGCAAATGCTTTAAAGCACTGCAACACTTCTTAAAAATCTTAAGCATAAGCCCCGTACTTAAAACAGTGGAGCTACACTGACTGAACTGAGGCTGCTCCCTCTCTCCAACCTGACCCACTACCAACAAGGATTTTACAAAACCTGCCTTCAACACCACTTTTCTAAAGTTGTATTTCCTGTAAGGCAGTGGTTCTCCACCTTAGCCTAGTAATGGGGTAACCTGGGGAGATTTAAAAGAAATACTGATGCCTGATGCCTGGTTTCCACTCTTCACTCCCCCACCCTCCCCCAAGATTCTAATTGGTCTGGGGTGTGGCCTCCCCCCCAGGTGATATTAATGTTCAAGTTTGAGAATCATTCCCATCCTTCCCATGTAAATTATTAAGACACTCCTTTTAGCCTCTAACTTCCTTTACCTCTGCCTAGTTATCTGCAGTGAATGAGCAAAGAAATGGGACCTATGTGTAGTAAATGAATTGCTATTATCAAACCCAGTCAGTTCCGATGCCAAAAGGATGGATGCAAGGAGGGAAAAGAACCAGATGGTTTATAGTTTTCGTTACTTCTGGGCAAAGATGACTCCATGACTTCACACAGTACAAGTTTAAACTAACAGGGAGGAAACTGGCGAGAACTCTGGGTGTGATGGGTCATAAAGGTGTCCACAAGGAAAAACGAGAAAGTTCAGGAGTGATTTCATTTCATTAATATAAAGGTAATAAACAAACTGCACAATAAACTTTAAAATACATTTTCATTTTTAATTTAAAAAATAAATAACAGCAAATCTGAACAAAAATTCTTCTACTTCAATGCATGTATCTTCCAACTGTCATGTTTGAAACCCAACTATTTACAAAATCATGGCAAAGGAGCTTATGAAGAAGTTTGGACGAACAACTCACAACACATAATAGATGAGTTTGGGCAGGGTCTACTGGAGATCAGTTTTGGTTGGATTCTAAGTATATAATCAACCTGAATGGAAAACTTTTTCTGTTTGTAGATCAGAACCAAAGGTTCAACCTTCAACCCACCCAAAGAGGAACTTACTGTTTCTGATGTAATTTTAAAAACGAGACATATAGCTGAAAGCTTCCAAGGAAGTGATATTTATCAACTTCAGAAATGATATGGGGAAGGGAGATATGATTATTAACATGAACTGAATGTCTAGATACAGTGGCCAGACTAGTGAAGGCTGAAGACTATCATGAAAGTGATAGTTTATAAAGTTGTTGCAGAGAAATATGGTAACTGGTGTCATACATATTTCAATGTGTCCTGGATGTAACAGGTATATTCATAATTTTAATGCCCATAGATCTTTTGATCTTTCTTAAGACCCAGGGTATGCCAGGGTCAAAGCAACAAGCTGGGATGAAAAGCAGAAAGATTCTAGTGTGTGGATCTAAAAGTCATTATACAGAAACTTAGTTTCCTACTGACTCTCCTTCTCTTTTTCATTCACTTAGAGTAAAAGCAAGCAAGGGCTGGAAGGATTCCAAAAATCATCTAGCCTCAAATATTTTTTTTTACAGATGAGGAAACAGAGACCGAGGGGCTACACCTTGACGTGCCAAAAGGTATAGTCTTTATAGTCTTGTTCTGTGTTGATGGTGAGGTTCCCTCCACCCATCTCTTTTTTACAACTGAGAAGGGAGAACAAAGGCACAAATTCGAAGGGCCTTCTAAATATCTTTTATAAAACGGCACCATGGGCACAAGGGAACTTTCTGTGGTGCTGAAAATAGTCTACGTCTTCATCTGTGAGGTGGTGACGTGGGTGTATACATATGTAAAAATTCATCCTGTACCCCTAAGATTTTTGTACCTTACCTCATGTAAGTTGGAACCCTGGTGACGCAGTGGTTAAGCACTTGGCTGCTAACCAAAAGGCTGGCCGTTCGAATCCACCAGCTGCTCCTTGGAAACTCTATGGGGCAGTTTTATTCTGTCCTATAGGGTCATATGAGTCAGAATTGACTCGATGGCAACAGGTTTTTGTATGTAAATTATGTCTCAATTTTAAAATAAGAAATCGTCCCATGATCTGGGGCAGCTAGAAGGGAATGACTTGTGCAGCTTGGAAAGAGTTAACAAAGGCAGACTGCTATCTCAAACCCTACTTTATCTTAGGGATTTGCAGTATGGTTGGGTCAGTCCTTTTTCAGTTTTTAATAGGAGACAATGACTGCAACTGGGGAGTCAAAGGGTGAAGGTGCAAGAGGGGGGACCAACACTCGGCCCCGCCAGGCTTACGTGGGTTTTAGTTTCATTTCATATCACTCACGTTGCAATCCCACAGCAAACCAGAGTGAACTGTCTTTGTATACGGAGGCTGTTTCCATTGAACATATGGAACAGCCACATCCTGAGGGTCTAATACAGTGTCTGGCATTCACTAACAGCTTGATATATTTGAATGAAATAATTCTTGAGGAAAAAAAAAAAACAAACCTCAAATCAAGACAAGTCACCAACACAGAGAGAAAAGATTTCAAAAAGAGAAAGAAAAAAACCTACATAAAGAACCAATATTCATAGAGGTTGTGATAATTCTAGGGCTTATTTCAATTCTTATAACATTACAGACTCTTTAGCAAGGAAAAGTAAAGACTGGGTTCTTTCTCCTTTCTCTCCCTCTCATTTCTCCTATATTTAGTGTCATCAATCAGAAGGCATTTCTTTTGTAGTCTTCCTCTTCGACTTCAGGACAGACATTATTTATGACGTTTTGTCAAATATTACTCTCCTACCCAATGGCTTCCCAACGAGGTGAACCTCCCAAAGTCCTCTGTGATTTATTATTCCACAACATTACCTGGAATTCTTTGGGTTCAGGAAAGAGTGAAACTATTATTTCCATTAATGTGGAAAGGGGATCATATGGAATAATGTTATATAATACAGGGGAAGGCACCTGGGCCCTGAGGTATCAGATTTCCATAGACTCTGCTCCGAGATCAGGCATGGATGGGCTCACTCCCACTGTTCTCAAAGGAAAGGCTAGAGGTTTTGCGTTTTTCATGACCCAGTTTGTATCTTTCTAATGACAGCCTGAAAGCAGGGTGAGGCATACTGCTGACAGGCAGCTTCTCAGAAGTTGCTCCAGGTTCCACATAAGCCCTGCATATTCGTTCTGTTCCCTCCTTTTTTCTCTACAGGGCTTGCGTTCTTTCTACTTAAAACCCTCTTCAATTCTTGTAACATTTTGTCCCTAGCCAAAAGTTACATAAAAGGCTCCAAAAGATGCCATCTTCTGAAGAGGGCCTGTATGTGCAGAGTTAACCTGCACAACCTTCCAGTTTCCCTTGGGAAAATAAAAAAGAGTATCTGTAATGCTCTCAGAGAGTTCCAGATCCTACTCGGGTCTAGCAGAGAAAAGAAAGGAACATTTTGGGAGTATCTACCAATTTGACAACCTGTGTGAGAGATATTATCCCCATTTTGAAAGGTGAGGAAATGAAAGCTCAGAGAATTTCAAACAATGTGTGTGAATTTGTCAAGTTAATAGATGACATAGCTGGGATTTGAAATCAAACAAATTTAATTCCAAAGCCCATGTTCTTTCCATTATACTTCATTGTAGGTTTTCGTGATGGGGGTGAAGAATAAGCCTTTCCACACCACTTCTAGAATATGAATACTAATTTCTTGAGTAATGCTAGATAAGTCTCAGAGGTTTCTGGTTCCCTGATCCTTGCGATGAGCTCGAATGTCTTTCCTAAAAGGGGTGGTGGTGAAACAAGGCATAAAAACAAAGAGTTGGGTAGGCAAATCCAAATTCTCATTGCTGACAACTTAGCCTCTGAAATCTCTTTCTCTGCTCCTTCTACTCTGAGGATTAGGCAAGCGGTGGAAGACATTCCTGGTGAGTTTCTCTGTATTTTGACTTAGGAGATTCACAGTTAAAAAAAAAAATTCAACTTTACCATAAATACCCAAGTATTATAGAAATATCTGTGACATTTCAAATATTGTTCCAACTATGGATAGACAGAGCCTTGGTTGTGCAGTGGTTAAGTGTTCACCTGCTAACCAAAAGGTTGGCAGCTGGAATCTACCAGCTGCTCCGTGGAAGCTCTATGGCGCAGTTCCACTCTGTTCTATAGGGTCACTATGAGTTGGAATCGACTCAAGGGCAACAGATTTGGTTTTTTGGAGGGACAGGTATTAAAGAGCTTGTCAGGGGTGTCTTCTCCATCTAAGTGTTATCTGCTATAGCCTGTCAGCAAGCTGGGCAATTAGTCAGAACCTGTAGTATAAGTTTCTATTTGGCCTCAATTTCCTTATCCATAAAATGAATGTTTTTATGACCTTTAAGGCCTTTCCAGCTCAAAATGTCTATAACTTTGTATGGCTGTTTATGTATGTGTATATAATATTTGATCATCTAAAATCTAAATCACCCCTTTTTTTCTTCTGAAAGGAGTACTTACATTAGTACCATTAACAAGTGATCAAATTAATTCCACCATCAAGAGGAATAAATAATTAAGGGGAAGTATTGCACTGAATCCTCCAGGGTACAATCAGGAAGCAGACTGGGGCCACCAGGCATCTAAATGGGATCTGGAAAAGAAGTGTTTGAACCCAGGCTTCTAAGTCCCTTATATCCAGCGACTTGAGATCAGAGGAGGTAACAAGAGGACTCTGTGTGTGCAAATGGAAGAGCTCCAAAGGAAGCCTTAGTACAAGGGAGCAGTGAGGGCTGTTACCCAGGAGTGTAATGGACTCCCAGGAGGGCAGCTTCCCATGTCACAAGTGAGTGGGGGTGGGTTGCAAGAGCTCAGAGCCCACGTCTGAGTCCATGCTTTTTCAATAATGATAGACATTCATAACCGACAGCAGCCAATCTCCATTAAAAATGTGTGTTCTTTTCCTCAAAGGAGACACAGTAGACATTAGAACAATATTATTATTTTGGCTATCCAAATGTACTTGATATTAGTCTCTTCCAATATGCTATATGGGATACAGTATGCCTATGTGAGAAAAGAAACTAAATCTCAAGCATAGCTTTTCAGAAGCAAAGCAAGAAATACCTCCAATGAGTAGGTTAATGGGGTAGCTTCACCACCACTGCAGAATAACTATCCAGGCTTTTGTAGTCCCCATTGGTTCTGCGCTGGAGGTTAAAAGTTAATAATAGTGAAGGAGCTCTCTCCTTTGAGAAACACACAGAGCATGGCCAATTCTGGAATTCCATGTGGACTGGAGGAGATGTGGCATGGCCTTACACATCATCAAAGAGAAGCTCTCAAAATAAAAAACCCAGACTTTGAGCTGGTGAGCATTATCCCAGATCAGAAAGATCAGTCAGCAGGGAGCCTGCCCCGTGCAGTGAGGACCCTGGCCTCTGGAGGCCAATTCTCAGGTATCAGCTGTCAAAGGCACTCAGTTCCAGAGAGAACAAGATCCTTATTGAGATCCAGGCTCAGAAGAAGGTATGACAGATTTCCGAGCTTTTGGAGGTGGTGGAGGTGGGGCTTTGGCTTCTCTTCGGACAGGTAGTGGGGGAGCAATCTGAGGGAGCAGACATATGAAATTAGAAATCAGTGTTATCTTCCCAATTCAGCCTTCTCCTCCACATTCCCCACATCCTGCTTTAGCTTTTAACTGATCAGAGTTTATCTACACAGCCCCTGCAAGTTGAAAAGGAAAATGATTTGTCCTGCTTCATTCTCCTTGATCTAAACAGACAACACATGCACACACACACACCTACCTCCCCACACACATACCTACATACACATA